AAAAGGAGTGGCTCCTTTTGAACTAGTTGCCTGCTTTCATGTTTTACCATGACACGTTTTGTCAGTGATGTCACAAACTACTGTGTGAAATCCAGCAAAGTCAGATAAGGCCCTGCAATAAATTAGTTTAGCTCTCCTCCATCACCTAAGCAGTCAACGCCATGGAGACACACACATAGACTGTGTCTCAAACTGATTTCAATTCAGAACGTGATGAATTTATTTTCTTAGGTGGGTTACAAAGCTAGCAAAATTGACATTCTACATAAATCCAGGGTCCCTAAATTCAAATGATCCACTTTTGTCAAAACAGTGGCTTGCGAAGCAGGAAAATAAACTACCACATATAGCCTGCCAGCAGCATGGTTAACAAAGGTAAATTACATAAGATCATCCTGATGGCAGAAATTAAATGAAAAGAAATAAGTTGTGCAACAGGTATTATGACTTTGAATGAGAACCGTGAAGTATGTAAACTGAATTACAGCATGTTACACGGGTCTTCCCTTTTTCTAGAACATCTTTGTACAACACTGCTTATCTAATGTTATACACACTTTACATTAAAATGGCAACAGTTGCGGCTAATGTCATTTTTATTTGTTCATTTTTTATGTAGTTTTTAGCATTATGTCATTATTTTATACGTACTTGACATTGCCTTGCAGATCTTTAATGTCCAGGGTCCCAGCATTCATTTAGTTTCTTAAAGAAAGGTTGCAGGGGAGAGGAAAAGCATCTCCTCTCTATTTGTGTAACTGATGTGTAACAACGCTAATGTTGCAATTAAATTGATTATGTTTTTATTGGGGAGTACTTTGTAATTGATAAGCCCTTTGGATCTCCACCTCCCCTGAATATATCAATTAAGCTCTAGGATTGTATGTTTCCTAGCCTGATGTTTGAATTGTGCCAACAAATAAAGACTAATCACTTCAGTGCCTTGAAATAAAATGATGTATTTAAACAGAGAACAGATTACATTATATTTCATTTAGTTGACACCTTGATCCGAAGCATTTTACAATAGCCAATATCATCTTCTTCCCTCAAGGAGGCAATTTAAAATCCCTTCATTTACACACAACATGCTGAACACTTATTTTACACATATATCCTGTTGCTTAAAGGGGACCTATCATGCAAAATGAACTTTTGTACGTCTTTTACACATGAATATGTCCCCGGTGTTCCAGGGAACTCATCAAGTGTCAGAAAACACAACCCTCTCTATTTTCCTCCATACCCAAATCTCTAAAAAAGGGGCTGCAACGGATCTGATAAAAACTGATCCAGATTTGAACACTTCAATGACGTCACAGAAGTGGCGCTACGGCTATTGGGCCAACTCTCCACCTATCAGGGGAATGTGGGGTTGGGCCACGGCCGGCCATTGCCGCTCAAAAGCGCTGGAGACGCTGTAGTACATATTCCAGTCCTGTAAGTGGCGCTGTAGTCTGCCACAAAAGCAGCGAAGAAGACTTCCCGCCCATAGTTACCATGGTTACCCTTCTGTTTATTCTCCGCTGTGGCTTTTTTTCTCCCTCCCCGAGGCAAGCATTTGCTCCCGCTGCTTTAATTCAATGCAATCCCTCCCCGTCGAGGCAAGCACTGTAATTCTCTCCGGTTAGTCCACCAGCAGATGACAAACACCCACCTCTCCGCCTCTTCCAAGGAACGAGGGGACCGTGCGGCAGAGTTTCAGTTTTTTTCGCCGGTCAAGATGTCCGTTAAAGTTTAAATCTTCCGGACAAAATTAGAAAAGTGCCGGTCAAAGGTCTTCTTTGTTATTTATTGAGCTTTAAAACAAATGAATAACGACTCTATAGGCCTATAACAATATAATAAAACACGGAGGACGGAGATCTTTTTTTCTCCCCCTCTTGACTTGATCAGAGCACGGCTCCCCTCTCCTGCAGGGGGGCGTGGTCAGCTGCAGCTCACAGAATCAGCCCAGTAGATAGCAAACAGCACATAGAGCGAAATGAGGCATAAATGCATGATCTGTTTGGTATTTTGAAAACAGAAACGTATAAAATATACCTTATATAGGTATGGCCCTACAATATATCATTTAAATATAGCATGATAGGTCCACTTTAAACCAAAATCAGTGAGATGCAAAATGAGACCTTAATCTAGAGGAAATAATGCTATATTTGTAATTGTCGTGACTGATACAGTCAGAATTGGAATGTCGTCAAGCAACAACGATACTGTTGTAAGGCGCTGATGAACGCTGCTATTATGTGTTTGTTATTAATCTGCTACAGAAATGTGCAAAAGCGGATATTTGTCCATGGTAGAATGGAGTGATAAAGGCTGACCAGTTTCTCAAATAATGGTGGTAATATATGTGAGAGCAGCAGAGAGAGTGAGCTGGGGTTTTGAAGAAAGGAACAATGGTGGCTGCCATGAAACATGATATAACAGGTGAGGGGGGGGGGGGCTTTACAATGGCTGCTAATTGGCCTACACATGCCCAGTGGACTTGCCCTTAAAAGACCCTGTGTTCTGCTGCTTTGAACTGCATCTGATTGTACAGGAACACAGAAGAAAAAACATTATTTTTTCAGAGTTTGAAAATCTGTGACTACTGAGATAGATGTGCATGTTTGTTTTGTGTTGCACATTTTCCTCCTTTGTGCAGCATATGGTCAAATGAGCTCATGTTCATAGGATATTTTTGAAATGTATCTCACCTTTTTTCAAAAACATTCAAAAACACTTTCTGAAGATAAACCTTTGTTCAGAGTCGTTGGGTTCATAGATTTGCATCAAAGAAAAAGGAAAAAGGTTTTATCAAAGTGAAATGCTGCTCCGAGTCTACATTATCTCAACATTTTAATGTAAATGTTTTGAAATTCCAAGATACTGATTCACCGTAATGTAAGTTGAAAACCCATTGAAGCTTTTTAGGATAATGAAACATAGCTTTCATAAATCTCAGCCTTTTCCCTAAACTACTGATACATGTATTGTCCCAGGAGCCTGACTAGAATATTCTTTAAAATGCACTTTTGCATTCGAAGGGCAATATTCTATAAGGGTTAATCACATAAAGTTTTTCCTTTTCTGACCCATATGGAAATAATTTGACAACAATCTTTTTTTTTCATCAAAAGTTACTTTGACCTTCCCACATTTTGCCTCATATGGTTGCAATATTTTCACAATATAACATGTTATGACCTCGAGAACAAACACACTCACAGGAGGAAGCACTGTGAGAATAATTTTAATACTGAATCATTATGAGTGTCTTGCCAGTGAAATCTGACTATTGCACGCTGTTGAATGTGTTGAGCCTTGAGGTTATACCTGTTATGAATCATCACTTGTGTATTGTAACCTTTCATTCTAAACAGTAACGGAAATTGGCCTTTTGTGGGTGTAGAGTGCAAGACTGGACAAGTTTTCACCCAAATGCTGAGTGATTCACGACGACTGTTTCAGATTAATGATCGTTACAGAGAGACCTGGGCTAATGCCCTGCTGTGACACACCCATTTTCTTCCGATGCCAAAAACCACAACAGTCATTGTAAACAATATGCACTGCCTACAGGGAGATGAGAATGAGGCTACTGACCTGAGTTTGTGTCAAAATCATCCTGGTGAATTATATAATTGCCTGTGAGAAGGTTGAATCTAGGCCAAAAATGAAGGCTCTTGTTTTGCTGAAACTAATCCCCGTAACCTGGGAAATGTGAAAGGTACATTGATAATTAAAAACTGATATGAAAGTGTGTGTTGTTGTTTGTCTTTAATTAAGCGGTTCATCAAAGTTATTTTCCCAACTGTCACCCATTGTTTTCAATACTTCAATGAATGCTGTGGTGTGTGTAGTTTTACTATGTTGCGCATAATCAAACTGTTGGTTAAACTTAATTTACTCGCACAGCAATGCCCTGATTGCTGCATTTACATATTTATTTTATATGTAAACCCTGTACACCCTATCCAAAGAACTACAATAAGCTTTGCTTAGTTTTTATCCTCAGTACCTTTAATTGTACTTTACGACCAGGTGATTACTTGATCACATTTACCATCATTTTAACTACATTTAACTGCTATAAAAACTGCTAGTAGAGTGAATATGGACCAAAAAGACTGTGAAAATTATGCAAGAAATTCCATTCCTTACATAATCAGGTTAGCTTTCTCCCTCAGGGTGTTTTGTTTCTTTTCAATTGTTTATCCTCTGTTTGTATATCTTGTACATTTGCATGTATGTTTGTTGATATATCATGTATTTGCATACCACTGACTGTCATATTAGATCTACTGTATCTGTTTATGTATGTATACATACTCTACTTTGCTATTCTGTATATAAATACACAGATAAATTGAACATGACCAATAGAAACATGTTATTGTCATACTGAAACAAAAGTCTTAATTGTTTAGATATAACCAGTGACATTTAATTTGTATTACTGTAAGCTTACATACACTTATTTTTAATCCACTTTTGTAATTTCACCAGTGTGTCTTTGTTGGCGTCTGGTTACCTACAACATGTATCTAAGGAAACTAGAAGAAAATCAGTAACGTGGTTTTTCTGGTGCTTCTCTTTTTTATTTCTGCTGATATGGTTTGTTTTATGGCATCAATACAGTGCATTAGATTTAGCCTCATCAGTGGTGTTTGTTTTCTTATTATTTCGTTTTATTTGGAATTAAAGGGGGTAAATGTGATCATTCAGCCAAGTTTCTTAAGTAACTGACAATGTTCCTGATGTTTATCATCTACCAGTAAAAATTATCTGGAAACAGAATAACTTCCCGAAAAACTGGATATATCATTTTTCCCCTCAGTATTTGTTTGTTATGCCAAAGGAAGAGGAAAAAAAAGCGTGAGAATGTCTGAGGAAGAGGGTGTGTTCAAAGGTGTGCCAGCCCTTCGGCGTACGTGTGTGTCTGTGTGTCGTCATTGACTCATTGTTGTACTGACATGACACCTATACCTGCTTGTGTATAAAAGCAAGCACATGATTCATCTGCTTCATAATCAGTTCAGTGTGCCAAATACCTTTTCGGCTCTCTGACAGCTAACTTCAGCCCATTGCTTTGTCACAGGTTTCTATTAAGATGAGGAATCTTCTTGTGGGGGTTTTTCTCGGACTTCTTGCTGTTGTCCACTCAACACCTGTCCATAGTAAGTGAAAGTCTTTTTTTCTTTTAATAACAAATACTTAAGCAAACACTTTCTATTCTAGCTTAGCATGTGTTTGTTTTTATTTGGTAATTAAATGTTTCTTTATATAATTACATTTTTACATTATAAGATCGTAATCCAGGTCCATTTAATTCTGCTTTAATCCTAATAGGAGTTATTCAACGGTAGTCAGTACAATTATGTTGAAAACACCTTTCCACCTCAGGACTCATGAGGCCATATTCATGGGTTTTGCAGACACAGTAATTTCTCTATGCTGTACCGACCTCTACATTTTCAATAATTCCCATCGTGTCCTTTTTATTACCCTGTGAGTCAGCACTCCCCTCCTTACCCAAGATGCTCTTTATGTTTCAGGTCTTTCTGTAAAAATTCCAGAGTAGTATTTCATTATGGGTGCACAGGTTTCCCTGGCATCTCCAGATTACACACAGGGATCTTTGTAAATATGTGCTGAGCCCCTCCAGGAGGTGCATTAAAGCGTGTGTCTGGAGTAAGGTGAAACCAAAGATCAGCTAAGAGCTGTTACACAAGTTTGGGCATCCGGTAACCTCATAGGGAACACTGGAGCCGAACGTGATGGGGCAGAAATGGAGAGTGAAGATGTTTGATTCAATTCTCAGGCTTTATTTGTAATATATTTCAGTTCACTTATCTTTTCACTTTATTGAGATTTTTCTGATTTTTGCTCAAGTGTAAATACACAAATACACTGTACTACTGAAGGTCAAGCATCATCAATGTCATACTTTTTTAGTATCAACAGTTAAAGTACTTGCTCTCGAGAAGAATGGTACCTTTAACTTATAATAGTATATTATATTGCAACTTTAGTATCAATGTGTAAGTAGTTTAAACACACATTTTTTCGAAAACACTAGTTTATTATGTTATTATGTATTGCATTTAAACGTTTATTGTATACTTAGTAAGATGTAGCTATAGCTCTCAGGGAGTAATTTTTTTTATGTAGTGAAGTGAAGTAGAAGAATAAAATGGAATTACTCAATCAAAGAACAACCTGCAAACAGTAGATAAGTACATGCTAAATGCTAACTGATTATAGTGTGAAATATCTAAAAATCCAGACTAGTAACAAGCAAAAACTTCAATCTAGCAAAGTGCCTAATTTGTTTTCCTCATTATCACAAAACTCTGGGATTGGCTTCCTTCCAGACAAAACTGGGTGTGTCAAGCGTGGTTGGCTCTTGTGAAACTGATGCTTTGATGAGGCTTCCTTTCTTTTGTAAACTCTCTGATAGATGATTAGTCACAGAGGTTAATCATTACTGTCTCTAAGCACCTCATCAACGAAAAACACAAAACAAGTTGATACAAGAATTTGGGGCATAAGCCCTGTGTGAGAATGTTTGTAATGAATCAAAAAGCCTTGGTAACTTTCCTTTCCACTCATGTCAGGGCTGGTAAACACTCAAGCTGAACAGTGGATTTTTCTGTCTCTCTTTGTCCTAGCTACGACCCAGATCACAGCTGAAAATGAAGTTATCAGAGAGGCTTTGACGGACGGATACCTCGTCGAACAGTCTTTACTCCCAACATTGACAACTGAATCGCCCAAAAGAAACACTTCCGTTCAGCAGATAACTGACACCACTCAGGAAAGTGCTAAAGGGGAGTCCATGGATCACATATCTACATCCACCATCTTGCCAGAGGACACTCAAGACAACATTTCAGATTCAACCACTACCCCAAACCCTCAGCTTAGCTTTACCTCTTCAGAAGAGCCAAATGAAGCCAAGTCAGGCGTCACGGCCACCCACATCACAGTCCCTCAAACTACTGACCTTACGACTGCCTTCGACATTGCCTTCCGGTCCACCCTGAGTTCTGAATCAGGCTCTGGAGATGGAGATGGAGAGATGTTTACCCAGTACCCGACTACAACCTCCAGTATGACGTTAGGCTCTGGAGATGGAGATGGAGAGATGTTTACCCAGTACCCTACTACAACCTCCAGTATGACCTCAGGCTCTGGAGATGGAGATGGAGAGATGTTTACCCAGGACCTTACTACAACCAGTTCACCATCAACCTCCATGGCTGATTTTATCCCACCAGGAATGTTTGCAGAAAGCGAAGGATCAAGTGAAGGATCAGGATCAGATATTGAGAACAGCAGTATAGTGCCAATCAATGAGACACCTTCGAAGCAAGAACCTTTGATAAATAAAGAAAATAGTAAGTATCCAAAACCTGCCTCAATAGTTATGCCTACAATCATGAACATTGTGTTTTATTGATTGCCAACGGAAAATATAAAACCTGTTTTTTTCTGTTCTTAGGTCAGAAACTGGGCGATCCTGACACTACTAACACAGTACACAGCACACCAGGTAAGTTTTGAAAAAATTGTAAACCATATTTTGTTCATGATCAAACTCTGCCATAGTCAGTCCCTGTCCTAACTTCTTATCTCCCATATCTCCAGGTTGGATCATCATCGTCGGTTTTATTGTGGGCCTTGCAGCATTGATAGTGCTATTTGTTGCCATCGCTACCAGAGACAAGTAAGGCTTTGAAAAAGAAAAAATATAGCTATATTTGTTTTGTTATAACTGGTTAAGTCTAGAAAAACATTCTTATTGTTCCTTATTTGTGCAGGTGGAATGCACCAAGCCAGGCATCCAAGACCAAGAGTAGCTCCTCCAACCAGCAGAGGGAGATAGAGATGGATACGTTCCTGCACAAAGACAATCCCAGGGAGAATGGAACGGCGGGAGAGTACACGGTCATCCCCCTGGAGGAGCTTCCAGGACCTTCCTCACACTGAGGTTCAGACACAGACTCTCCGGAGGCTTCAGACTCATCACAGAAACACAAGTCAGAGTTTGAAACAGAACGCTTTGATCAGAGCAACAAAAGGGTCGGGGCTGTGGAGCACAAACGGTTCCTGTGAACTTCTCAGCTCTGATCCTAGTCTGAACATGATGTGGCTTTTCCTGTCAACTTTCATAAACTCTCATTTACTTTTAAACTACAGCAATATTCATGTTTATGCTTTTATTGCCATTGTATTATCCAGAAAGAAATACTGTTAGATGTTTTATTGTTTGTTTTTTGTATGTTTTTTTAACTGGCAATGATTCTGTGAAAATCTCTTTTTTGCAATAACATTATTGGTGTTGTGGATTGTAACTTATTTTAAGCTGTTGTGTTGTTTCCCCAACCTTTATTAAAAAACCTCTGATTCCTGAACAGTGCCCGACCCACTGACTGTTAGACAACCTACACAGCACTCCATCTGTCGTTATTGCATCTTCATATGATGAATTACACCGCATTTTTTTTGAGAAATAAACACAACCACAGCTTATCATCAATAAACATTTATTTGTTTCCATTAATATTTACACACAGGTATTAAAACATTTACACACCTTCAGTCCATTTGCCAGACAAATATTGTTTGTGCTACATTCAATCCTGCTCATTCTAATTTACAAGAAATGTTGCATCACAATAAATGTCAGACACAAGGGAAATATTGGATACATTCTTGGACCGAAATGTGCATCAAATCATAAAGGAAGATAGAAAATATATGTTTTGTTTTGGAACGATTGAACGATTCCATGTTCATGTTAGGGTTGGACAACTATGCTACACTAGGCCAGTCAACTAAGGACATTTAGATCAAGGCCCGGAAAAAATGCAACAGAAGTGATGTAATAAATAATTAGATAATGGGTTTTACATAAGTCAGGCTACGATGATAATTTCCTAGGAAGAGTCTTCAATGTGTGAGAAAGGTAGTGCTTGAGCCAAACAAAGGATGACTTGCAAAGGTGTCACAGCAGCATGGTGACATACTGTATAGCTGCCAACACAAAACTGAATCAATGTGCTGATGACCATTACATACTTAAAAACAACCTTCTCTGATTGAAGAGGAGAGCAATATTGGGCTTCCTTCCCCTAAAACATTCAGAGATCAGTAGTTTATTTTGAAAACAAATAAATTGAATGCATTGTTTCTAAATAAATAACTCTAAACGTATAACCTATAGGGACCACTAGTGGCTCATAAAATGAAAATTAACATTGTACTTACATTGTTTTAAATAATATTGTTAAAGTCTTTATAGAAACGTTTAGCATAGCAAAAACAATTCTGATGCTTGACATGAAATGTCAAATCCTACACATTTGATTTATACACTTTATCTAAAGATGATATATACACAAAGTGCAAGGAGGCACTTTAAACATGAATATCTGTCGCTTATCTGAAAAGGGAAATAAATAACCTGTTTTAACTTTGAATAGAGTTTCTACACGGAGTCAAACTCAAAAACATATTCAGCCGACATCCAATGACCTTGTTGTTACGGCTTCAGATTTCTGTGAGTGCTGGAGGCAGAATTTAGTGTGCATTGCTAAACAGACCACAGCTAAATAACTCTGTGTATACGCAAGCGTGTTATTTATATATAAATCTGCACTTTTGATCATAATGTGCGAAATCGCACTGATACCTTGTGAGGAAATCCAGCATGTAAGGTGGAAAAACTTTACTTCTTCTATTGAAATGTGTGTCCCAATATTCTAAAGAAATTAATAGTAATAAATGTTATTCAAAAATTGTTAGTCATCACACTGACTGCACTCTGCAGTTGACATCGTCAAGGCAAGGTTGTCATATAGCAAAGAAATAAACCGTTTGAAATAAAACACAGAGCAATGCACTGGCCTGCCGAGAGTTTGAGAGACACACCCCTACCCCCCCTTTTACTCTTGTTGACCCTCCGACTTCCTTTCCTTCAGAATCTTCCCCTTGCTCTCAGAAACACACACAAACACAGAAATTCCAGTACACAGGCATACTTCTTGACTAAAGACAGAAACACAGTGCGTCACCAATAAAGAACATATATACAAAAGGAATAAATAAATAACTGTGAGGGCACCCTTCACATACATTTCTATTTCTGCTTTACAGCTCTCTGCAACACATCCTGTGCTGTTTGTTGCCACAGTTAGAGGTCAAACGCTCTGCTCTTATGCTTTAAGTCCTAAGCTTTGCTTCTTAGGCTTGGCCATGTGTGTGACATCAAGGAGTAATCCCATAAGTCAAAGAGTCATAGGTAGCACAGTGTTGAACCATTACTTAACTCATAATGACAGAAGCACTGTTTCATTCAGTTCATGTTCTATTTTCATGAACACAGTTCCCATTATTTTGAACCTTTAGTCCAGATTTGGACATTTCACGAGAAAACAAAATACACAAACATGTTGATATTGACAACGATTCAGTAAGGAAGTCTGTCAGACTCTGATATGCAGATCTGGTACATTTGTTCTGAGTCAATAACACCAACCTTTGTATTTTCTCTTAAGTGGTCCTTGTATCAAAGGTAACAAGGCCATCATCCACGTTTCATCGCTCCGCCCTTAAAGCTACAAAGAAAATGCTTCAAAACAAAAGAACAAATTGATTTTGCACAAGGTTGAAGAATAATTTCTTTTACAGAACAGGAGGATTGCAGCAGCACCAAGTAATGTGTTGTCAACCGAAGGATTTATTCTTATTTACAAAGTGAATGAAATGAAATGCACCAGTTCCTTACAGTTTGTGTATAATACAAGTTGTTGAGTCATCTGTAGTTTGCTCAGGAGCTACCCTGATGGGTAACTGAAAGGAAGAGACATGGCCGACTGTTAGTTCTTGTGGTACAGTTAACTTTTCCCCCCTTCTTTTCTACGTAATTATTTTTTGGTTCATTTTTAAAGCTGGAACTCAGGGTAAGGCGTGGCAGCATCTGGATCTGCTTTACTCGCATTTCCATGGTCCTTCCTCAACAAGAGAGAACCCTCCAGTCCTGCCATTTTTGCCCATGCCGACCTGTAAGCAATTATTGAGAAAATCTAACTTTATGGCCAAGGCACTGTTATTTACACCGTCAATGGTTGGGAGCAGAGAAGCCATGCATCATTAAATTCAGGCCATTTTACATTACATGAATGTACAGGCCATCGACCTTAGGGTATAATAATTGAGTGAATCCCCAACATTGAAATACATGCGATGAAGCAGTGATGCTGTTTACATGTCAATGTGGTAACAAGATGATATTAAAACAAGGATAGTTCCCAGAGTTGGCCATGTATTTTATGGATTCTCCGCCCAACCGAATTACAATAATCAAAGAGCAACTTCAGCAACTTTAGCATCAGCATGCGAAAGTTGCATTGCACAAACAATGAAATAGCAACAAAATTGAGTGAAATACTTTTTAAAATATCTTTGATAGGCATGTCATGAACGTGTGCATCACTTTGGGTGAAACATGGTGAAACAGCAGTCTTTATGTATACCACTGGCTACAAAAAGTATTTGAGAAAAAAAGCTAATGATTGAAAATTGTGATTTGGTCAGGGCTGCCAGAAATACATGTCCAATTATGTAGACCAAAATAAATAAATAAACAACAACAGTTTCTTAATGAAATCAGAACATACCACAACAAAATGCAAGTGAAATATAATTGTGTACAAGACAACACATTAGGAATGGTTGATGCTTACTGTCATTTGGGTTTCATGAGAATAAAACTGAGTTTTTGGAAATTATAAAAAACAAAAGTGTAGTATACAAAAGAACAAACTTTGCTTTTGTTGAACCTGGTACCACAAAAACTGCTTTTTCATACAAGTGCCAGGTGAATAAATAAATATGGAAATATTTATTTAGCTCTTCACCCTATTCAAAAAAACATTTTCCTCAAAGAAAATGTAACATGTACTATTTACATAGACACCGATACACTGATGTATAAAAAAAGAAACACACGCACAGAAAGGAAAAGAAAGGGGAACACACACACAGAGCAGGGGAGGTTTCTCTACATACAAGTCTCTATGTCCGTTAACGTGAAATGTACCTTGCAGTCGTCTATCAAGACTGAGTTGCGGTGTGTGTATACATTCTGGTTGGTGTTATTTCAATGAAGGATTGTGTCTTTGACATCTCAAATTCTTCCATCCGGGCCTGTTGATCGTAAAGGTCAAGCTCGTGCTTGGAAAGGTGGTACACGATGCCCGCTCCATAGGAGTCCCCGACCACATTGACTGAGGTACGGAAACGATCCCTGCATGAAGAGAAGGTGTGTTTAAAGTGTGAATGATAAATGAAAGAAAAAGCTAAATGGAGCGAGTCTTCTTTTTGTTTTAATTTAAATGTTTTAGTTATGTTGTTATTTAGGCTTCTAAATCATCACAGAAAAGTAAGCATGTGAATGTGTGGGCATACCATTTTCCCCCTTAAACTGTGGGTTTTTTCTCCGGAAGTTTTTCCTTGTACGATGTGAGGGTCTAAGGACAGAGGGTGTCGTTTTCTCATACTGATATTCTGCACAAACTGTGCTGTTGTATTTGCTGTAAAGTGTCCATACTGTAAGGTAATTATTATATGTGCAGCACTTTGGCTCGACCAAAAATCGTTTTAAAAATGTGCTATATAAATAAAACTTGATTTGATTTGATTTGATTTGATATAGAAAATCGTTTTTTTGAAACAGCGAAATAAAAATAAATGTTAGATGCCGGCAAAATGTGCTCAATACCGACTCTGTAATGAGTCACACTAGCAAAAACCTAACTAATTCATTTAAATCCAAGCATCTGTATTGACTATGGTGGTTAAGCTCTATGCTTTATACATTGTGTGTGTGTGTGTGTGTGTGTGTGTGTGTGTGTGTGTGTGTGTGTGTGTGTGTGTGTGTGTGTGTGTGTGTGTGTGTGTGTGTGTGTGTGTGTGTGTGTGTGTGTGTGTGTGTGTGTGTGTGTGTGTGTGTACATGGAATGTCCTGGAATGAAATTCCTAGAACATATGCTGAAAACACATGTATGTCTAACAAAGTGAAACGATGTTAATAGCTTAAGAAAACAAGGTGTTCAGGTGATTTTACATCCTTAAGATTGCAAAGCATCCAAAAGCAAGTTGGTACCAAACAACCAGGCAAGCATGATACAAGTGAGTGTTTATGCTTAGTGACAACTGAGGCCTGTACTACGAAGCCGGATTTTTGCTTAGCCGGCTAACTTCAGGGAAAACTCGGGCTTTCCGGTCCTACGACGCTGGTTCTCTGTGTGACTGTGTGAACGTGAAAATTAATAGAATATCACCTCCCATCTTCAGAGCAATCTGACTATTATAACATTAGCGTTAAGAAAGCTTAATTAAATATCTGCCA